CCTTGTCGTTGTTTAGCATGAATTTGATGCATCACTCATGAAAACTGAGCCAGTTGTTTATAAGCATATTGTTTAATTATATGATATTTATCTTCTGCCAGCTGTAACGTTTGGCAGTTGTTTGGTATGGTTGCTTATAGTTTGCTCCACTTTTTTATGGAGTTGTAACAAAAAACTACTAACTTTTATTTATGACATTGTTTCTCATTTTCTGTCGTGGTGCGAGTTTAGTGGCATGTTTTAACTGTGTTGCGAAGGTAGTTTTTTACTTTATTTCTCTTTGAATGCTATGGGAGGTGACTAACTTAATTTCCTTTTTAGAAGGAAGCCAGGCGCGAAGCTCGGGACGGTTGTCGCCAGAAGAAGAGGTAATTCCTTATTAAGTTGGTAATTTGGTTCTAATTTACTCATGAGCTGGATAATATTGACCCGGCTTAACTATTATTACAGCGTATTATGAGTGTCAGTCCAACGTTTAACTTTTTTGTTCTATATTTTTGTTGCTAAAGTAGGATTGAAATTATCTGTGACATGTCGCAGAAAAACTTCATTATAGTTTTACGTTGCCTTTCTCAACCTGTAATCTTGTACGGTGTAAGTTCCAAAAGAGACTAGTTCTTTAGCTATCAGTTTACTGTCGAAAGACTTAGTTACAACCTTTTGCACATTAAAAGGAAATGTTTAGGAGCGCTAAAGGGATTTCATATTTAGTTCTTTTTTGTTTGTCATCTTCTGTTTAACGTGTTTCTGATACACCGTTTTCAGCTGAATAGCTCGAAGGATAGCAAGAAGAAGAAAAAAGGATTTTTTTCTTTTGGGAAGAAGAAAAACAAGTGAGCTTGATTGCCTGCTTTTCTATTTCTCTTTGCCCTTTCTTGCTTTAGTGTTTTAATTTCAATCTAACATTTCTCTTAGCTCTTAAACTGTCCAGTGCACATTTTTGTTGACTGTCTTTCGACTAATTTACGAAGTTTTACTAACAACACCTAATTGCTGACCCAAGTCGATAATTGGAACCGCAGGATTACAAAGAATCCTGCTTTCACTTCAACGTTTTCGTTTATGGGTCTAAGACGACCCGTAAAGTACGTTATATGTGATATTCCAGTTGTCGTAGTCGTTGGATTTAAGAAAATTTATTTGTTCAGTTTTCTGTTTATTGCAGAGCGTATAAAAGAACATCGTACCTTGTTCAAACAAGCTAGGATTATAGCTGCATTTTCTTTTCAGTGTTTTTTTTTGTTTTTCACTTGGAATTTTTGTGGTGGTGTTGTGTTTCTCTGTATATATGTTGGTTGTAGCATCATTAGTTAGCTTTAGATTATTTTATTCTTTTTATAAATGACAGTGAATTTGCCAAGAATTAATTCAAATATTTATAGGTGAGTTTTATTCCGGTAGATGGTCGACCACCGTCTAATTTTTTGAATGGATACGCTGCATAACGGTGCGAAACAGTTTCGTATGTACACTTCCTAGTTCGGAGTAGTTTTTCCAGAGAAAGTGCTCGTTATGATAGATTCATTCTTTTCCGATAAGATAATTTTAAATTGCTTGCATCTTTGATAGTAGAGGTTGCGCAAATTTTGATATTATCCTTAATTCATCAGTTCTGGATGAAAGTTCTGCTGTTCAGGGCGTTTCATTCGTTAAACCGTTTTTATTTCATACTTTAAATGGTTGTTTTGGGTTTTGCGCGACACTAAAAAAGTATTGCTGTTTGCTGATCGATATTCTTGGCCGCTGCACTGTGGCTTTTAATTAATTTTTTGTACAATGGCAGCTTTCGCTTTTGTATTTTACTTGTAATTTTCTTTCTAATTTTTGTTCAGCTTAATAGAATTGAAGTAAGTTGGCTAGTGAGTTCGTTAGTCATTGAGATAATGTAAGTCTCAGAAAAAGTTAACTCAATCTATTACTTGGTTTGCTTTTGTTATATAAGCATGGCTTCCCAGGTGAATTACTTGGTGGTTGTTGGGGTGTGCTGATCGGAAGCCAAGCTAAGCTGAGTCACATCTAGTGGTTTTTATTTTGAAACTTGATGTGAAAGATAAATTTTTTAAATAGTAAAATATTTTTTATGGCGAGAATTACAGTGCTTCAAGAGAAAAAGATTTTTTGAATTCAGGCAGTTTGGTTTTTATGATTTAATTCTGATATTCGGGTCTGTCTAAGTTCTCAATTTCATTTTTTGGTTTTCAGCATCATTGTTAATTTTCGTTTCTGTTTTGAGATGCGTTTTGTATGATGTGCTATCTTCCTGATTTTTTGTAACATTATGATTTCAAGGCAACTTTTTGCTCTGGAGATGTTCAAATGAAGTTGCACTGCTTACAGGAAATATTAATTCCGGTGTTTTCAGGCTTTTTTGTTTTTTTTTACACTTTGTAAAGACTTCAAATTTCATTGCTAAGGGCTTTGGTTAGTACAGTTTTTGAATTTGAAGGCTTACCTGATTCTTATGTTTCGCCGCTGGTTTCCTGCTTGATATTGTTGTTTAAAGCATACTGAACATGTAAACTAATTTATCCGTGTAACTCCTGTTTTGATGTATTTCAACGACACTGAAATAGCTTTCACCGAGTTTTTTCTCACTTTTTTGTTTAACTGTTTTGACTCGGGATCATCCTTCTCTTGTATGCTGCTTTAAAGTTGTAATTCTTTATTTGCTGTTACGTAAGCCTTTTCGGTCGTTGGCAGTTGGGAAAAAAAAACTGAAACTTCTATCACTGGTTAGTCCAGATGAATTTTTGGTTAAGGATTTGCGGTGTTATTGGGGAAGGGATGTTTTATATTTCTATAACATATATCTTTTGTATTAATTTGAATTTGAAGTTGAAAATCAAAGTTTGGGAGTTTTAGGGTACCATGAAGGTTGATCAGAGTTCCTAAGGACGATTTTTAATTCTTTTGCATTGGTTGTTTCTGTACAACTTAAATTAACAGTTTGCCTTTTAATGTTTTGGAGCATCGCTTCCTACACGAATTTGCAGTTCATTTGATTGGTTTGAGTCCTTAGATACACGGCAGATAAAATTTGGAATGTTACGTATGTTAAGTGAACAGCTTTTATTGCTTTGACGTTATAAATGTAGAAGTTGGCAAAGTCGAATGCATCTGTTTCTTGGTTCAGCAATATTTTTCCATTTTTTTTTGCTCAGGAGCATTGTAATACACGTACACGACAGACGCGAAGATCTATATAATTTGTTCAGTTCCCTCTGCACCCTTTTTAATCCCGAAATTGTCGTGGAGAAGATAGATTAGGGATTGAGACATCTACGAATTGAGGTGATTGACTGAGGAGAAATCTTTCAAGGCCATTAACACCGAACCTTACTGAGTTCCCCGATGCTTTTTGTTCGGTCTCTTGTATAACCCTTGCAGGCTTCAGCTGCAACGGCTCCAACTGGCAGTTAACGGGTTTGAAGATTACCGGGAGAATTTATGTTATTGCAAGCCAAAGAAATAATTGTATGCAAGCGCGGTTCTGCAGGTTTTGATTCAATAAATGAAATAAATAAAACATTATTGGTCAATAATTCGTCTTCACATTGATATACAGTTGAAGTCGTGCCGTAATGGCTTACTTCATACTAGTATGATAACAAAATCATTTCCATTTATCTCTTTTTGAGAATTTACTTTTGATGATGAAATTTACAATAACCTTGCGTCTAGGAGGTATGTGTTTGCGAACTAGTGGCATGAAATTGATGGAGGGAATGACAGTAACGAGGCTGCCATACAAATGTGCGCCTTCTTTGGTATTTACATCTATTTGTTGAAAGAAACGAAGTGTTAAAGACGTCTTCGCCAACCTAGATCTGATGGTCCACCTACAGGGATCATAAAGCAGTGTACTGTTCTGGCAAAGGTGGAGGCCAAATGTTACTGAACATATAGTTAAAGGGGAGCTGCGTATACAACGGTAATCCCCCTGACTAATGTAGAAATGGCCAAATATTGTCCTGAAGGAATAATATGAAGAGTAGACCGGACTTTAAAGCTGATATTACTGCGCAACGGTTTCCACATCATTTTTCTAACACTTGGTGCTCCCTCATGACATTTTTCTCCGCTGCAGCATTTGGCGTATTTGCATCTTTTTACGATGAAACCATTAATGAGGAGCAAATTCCTTTGATCCACTCATGGTTCCGATTGTACTGGTGGCAGGAAGGAACCTTTGGGAATGAGTCATTCGTTTAAATTATCTTGGTTTTTAATGATCTTAGCTGTTGGGAAATGATGGTGAAAAGCCATTGTAAACGATTGCTGAAACGTTTTTTTACTGTTCTGGTTGCATTAATGATTAATTGTAACACGTGATTCAGAATTTTTCTAGTCCTAGCTGTTAAACATTAGAGTTTCGATAAAAATCTTAACTGGTAGCTGAAGAACACCGAATTTTGTTATCTACCATCTAAAGCCTGTACTATGGTTGTCGTATTTATCGAGTGAATAGGATTTAGGGTCGCTTGATTATTTCAGCAAAAAGGGGTGAATAGTTTTCCAGGTGGGAGAGTAAGGTTTATTGCACCAAATTACTGGAGTACTATTCCTGAAAACTAGAAGCATCGCGGAATCTTATGGATTTCCATCGCACCTCATTAGTTTTCTACATTGTCATCTTGGCTTTTTTAGATTTGCATACGCTCATCTGTCTTGGGAGATGAGTACCAACATTCCATTAGAGGGTAGAAGTCGATTGCCGCAAAAGATTCAGGATGTGGTACAAGAAAGTGGAGCTATTGTTACACAAGTCGTGAATTCTTCTCGATCTAATGAGGTGGTGATTTAGTGGTATTATCAATGACGTTTTCAATGAGACATTTGTAGGATTTATAAAGGAATTATAGTTAAGTTTTCGTACGGTTACTTTTAAAAACAAAATTTTTTTCTCTTGTAGAGCAGGACCGTATGGTCGTAGGAGCTGTTAAGTTTAGTGTAATTCACACTTTAATGAGACCTTTTGATTATAAATCATGTGTATTGTGAAATATGTTTGGTAATTAGGACTTTAAAATGAAGGTTTGAATATTTTAGGTAGAAAAATTTCTTCTCAATTTTCACTCAGGTTTTAACGGCAATTAAATATTTTAAACTGAATTTTATTGAAAGAAAATTTTTAAAATTGATAAATTATGGCAATAAATGTTAATTTTCTGATATCGCTATAAGATGGTGCAAACCAGTTTTTCAAAGAAGAATACAGTGTTATGTTACATATTATTGTATTTGTAGTCTAATGGCAAACTTTTATAAACCTAAAGCTGTCAATGTTATTTATGCTCTTTTTCGGATATAGCTTTTTTTTTTTTTTTATTTGGATAGTCACAGATTTATTTATAAAAACTCTTTGTTTATTTTTTCGTAGTGTAGTTTGATGGAAAGCTACAGACAAACAAGGCTTACAAATGACAGTAGTGTAAACTTCCCAGTTGCAGATTCTCGGTAACGTTGTCAAGAACTTTGTAAGACTCGAAGCAACGATATCTCAAACTGCCGCGGTGAATAGTTTGTTTAATGATACCCTCTTGACAAACTGAATGTCATAAATTTTTTGAGTAGTTTTGGTCACATGGTATTTTGGCTTTCTCGTTTGCTCTAATTAAATCTTTAAAAAAATTCTTTATCTGAAAAAACAGTCAAGCTTTTTTTATTTATACCTACAAATTTTTTCGCATCGTTTTTCAACCATAAAAATTCAAATAAAAACTGGAAACAGTAAATGCCAAGTAGATTCATCTTTTTATGAGTTTTTTAAAATTCAACTACTTCTTTGAAAATGCTTTAAGAACTTCACATTGTTTCAGTGATAATAGTAAGCAATAGTTTAAAATAATATTTGTTTATGAAGTTTCGCTCTTTCTTTTTTTTTTTTTTTTTTTTTTTTTTTTTTTT